AAAAAAAAAATAAACTCCAGTAGAAGTATTTAAATAACAGATCAAACACTCAGTAAACCAACATTTCTTGTGAATTTACTGTATGCCAGGCACTGTTTTTAGCAGTCAGTCTGTATTGCTCAATAATTCTTACAACAGCCCAATGAGGTAGGCATAACTATTATCCCCATCTTACAGAGATAACTAAAGCAGATTCTGTGTGTTTTCACGTCTTTTTTTAAGAATGAAATTAGATTAAAAACAATAGTTTAAGGGGCACCTGGGTGGCTCAGTTGGTTCTCCCTCTCTCACTGGGAGAGACCTGACCTCCGGCTCAGGTCATGATCTCGGTCCTAGGATGGAGTCCCACATGGGTCTCCCTGCTCAGCGGGGAGTCTGCTTCTCCCTCTCCCTCTGCTCCCCCTGCACATGCTTGCTCATGCTCTAAATAATCTTTAAAACAAAAACCAAACCAAAACAAAAACCCTAATAGTTTAAAAAATAGGTATTCAATAATTAACTCCCTTCCCATATCAGCATTCATTCTAATAGTTTATTCAAGGGGCTTTGTAAAACCACCATAACAACGAAAATATATTTGGCTCTTTACAGTTAACAAAACACTTTAATACGTTCTCCTTTAGATCCTAAGACTTGGAAGCAAAGTACAGTATTTTTAAGAAAAAATATCCCAAACTTGGAAAGAAGACAGAAAAGTGACCTGTCGATGTTATTACCAAACTCATCTAAGAAATATTTAGTTATCTGTGTTTGACTTTGCTGTTTACTATTTGATTAGAGCCCACACACTATGAAGTTCTGTTGACTGGTGGATTTCTCACTGATAAAAAAAAGATTACAGTTTTATCACCCTATCAGACATTAACCAGTTTTGTATATTAGCAACATCCTTTCAGCATTCCTGTGACCAACAATGTAAATCTCCAGCCCTCAGATTCTCCCTTGAACCAGACTTAACCACCCTAAGGATTCCCTCATTAATTACTGAGTTAAAGTTTTTGACATGTGCTCATCCTATAGTTGTATGAAAATTGCATTTTTCACTTTTTAAAAATTAAAAAAAGGAATGACTCTTTAAGAGAAAACAAATTTTTAAAAAATTAAGAGAAAATATATCAAACCTAAGGGTATCTTATAAAAACCCAGTAAAGTTGAGCAAGTGGGAACGGATAAGCCAGTAATCTCATCTCTAGGTGACAGTTCCCAAAGAAAACATTTGCAAACGCATCTCTCTAGGGTGTAGTGTGCAAGAATATTCACAGCAGTGTTTCATAAAAACAACAAAACCGGAAACACGGAGATCCATGTCCATCAATAGCGGATTGGGAAAATAACTTACAGTATGTTAATAACA